GTAATTATGTCCCCACTGGATGCAACAAATGCCTCGTTTATAATGTGTTTTAATGTTTTTGTCTCGTCGCTCCGGCCGGACAGGGCATCATCACAATATGGCAAAAGGCGTAACATTTCCGTCACACGCTTGAGGTATTCGGCCAATCACAACGCACCGGATAGCTGGCCAATCAGAGCACACCTCGCTTTTCAGACCGATGAGCTTTGTAAAAATCTACACGTTTCAGAAAGGCGGGGCATAGAGGAGAAACAATAATGTACAGTATGTGGAAAATAATGTGTTTTTTGAACCTTAAACCGCATAAACACATTTCATTACACCAAATACACAACATAATGTTCTTTTTAGCAACATCATATGACCCCTTTAAACATGATGTAAATGTGTTTTTGTTTTGTTTTTTCAATAACAAAACTGCTTTGAAGTCTATTTGGACCTGGTTTGTTTGAACTATTCTATAGATATAGGCAACAAACAAGTTTGTGTCGAGTGTAGATTTGTGTCAACATTCAGATACAATGGAAAAACTATAGCAAATTAGCACAATGATTTCCCAGTATAACAAAGATGCTACCCTTCTTCTGAACAAATTTTGTCCAACATTTAATCAAATATGTGTAAAGATCGACATTGACTACAGGAGAGGTGTAATACAGAAGTCATACAAAACTTTTTTTTTTTTTTCAAACAAATAGACATTGTATATCATTTACATTGGATTATTTTACATATAACTGAAATGCAAACAAAACAAAACAGACTTTATTGAAAGCCATATACCAGTGAAATATGATTTGCCCTTAATCTTTAAAGATAGTATCTACATTAATTTTTGTACAAAATATACTATGTCAGGCCAATATTAGAGTAGTGCAAATTATCAGGCTTTGATACATTACTTTTACACACAGCTTTATATTTTTACTAGTTAATTTTACGGCATTATACATGAGACCAAAGCCTAAATCTTTATAAAAGAAATAGAAAAGGATAAAATAAAGTAAAAAGAGCCTAGAGTCGGGTAGTAAGTGCTACTGTAAAATGTAACTGCTTTAAAATATTGATTTTTATTTTATTTTTTGTTTAAATCTGCATTGCTTTGGTCACTCTGTTGCACTATACAAAATACACTTGCATCTCTGACATAACTTTAAGCTGTCATTCTGTAAAACAGTGATTACCTATATATTCCCTATAGATTTATAGAATTTACATTTACATTACACTATTTTTCAAAAGTGCATCTGCAATACAGATCTTGACAAAAAAGATAGCAATACAACTTCATGTATTAAAATTATTTTCTTGTAAAATGATGTGTATATCAAAGAGAATCTGTGTAATTACATTTTTGTTTTAGTTGCTTTTAAAAATGATCAATGATTACCAAACACAATTTTTTTTTTAGACATTTCAGCATACTTCAGAATTTATACAACCTATGTTTTATGGCTCAAAAACTCCCTTTGCAAGGCCTACTGTGAAACAAATAGAGAAAGCTCACAAACCTAGCGAGGAATTTGTAAAAAATAGTCTTAAAATACACTAAAATATTTGGGGAATCCGCTGGGATCTGCACGGTGACATTTCAACTTCACATCAGCCGTTGGAAATGAGCATTAAACAAACAGTGTCTCTGTAACGCTCCAAAAACACGAGTCCAATGACACACAGCAGATTCTCTCACATGCTGTCAAAAAATGGCTGCACTGCTGGAAATTAACCTTTAACCCTCTGATCGCCATGAGTTGTTTGATACTGTGCATGGCAAAATTAATTGCTTAATCATCTGAGTCAAATGAACATAGTTTTTTAAATAGTTTTGTTAGGTCAATGTTTGAATGTTCAATTGTCTTATGTACACAAACACTAGAAATTCCAGAAATGTGCAGGATACTCGGGTGCAACAAAAAAAAGGA